AGCATGGGCAGCCCGTGCGTTGGCCAATTATTTTTTACATGAATTTTACATTGAAACAGCAAAGGATACTTTAGGTTTTCTGTTGTTTGGCGGCGATGGATTTGACGGGTAAAATCGAAGAGGTTTGTTTCAAGTCTGCTTTTTCCTACTTTAACTTGCGTGTGTGCGTTACGTGTGGTACCCGCCTGGTTGATTGTTGTGCATTGGCAGTGTTGTCGACGTTGCACATACAGTTTCTAATATTTCCATATTAAGTATTTCTGTGAGGAAATGTATGAATCCTAAGTACATTATACAAACGACGTACAAGTCCACGTACTTCATGGTACTTGCTAAAACTCGGCACGACTTGGGGACTGGGGCAAGTTGCGGTAACTGTGAGGGTAGAACTGTAGGGGTAGAAAGGGAGAGGGGGGAGGGGACTGCGGGCGGGGGATGGTGGTCTGGGACTTGAAGTTGGTAGCGGAGAGTAGATGGGGTTGCTGTAGGAACGAGGGGTTGAGACCCCGAGATGGTGACTAGGTCTTTGAGGGTTATAGAAGGGAAAAAGATGGAGTTATTGGTTGGAAGTTGAGACCTTGTTTGAAGATGGGAAATAGAAACGGGGGCGAGATCTATATGGGGTTTTTTAATGCGCAAGATGAAAACTGATGCTGAAGGATGATTAGCTGTCTTGAGCATGGTCTTGTAAAGTAGGTTTTAGCAACCAGATTAATCCTGGAAGCCTAGGTGGCAAGGGCGCGATAGATTACGACATGATTAAAAGAGATAAGAGTGAGGTAAGACGTTTCGGTCCATTAAGTCATATAAGCCTTAACTTAGCACCGCGACAGGACCTCGTCATTATGACGGTAGCAGTGCTTAATGGAAAAGGAAAGAGAAAAATGACAGAAAAAAGCAAAACAGACAACGACCTGATAGTAAAATTAGACAGAGTAAGACTAGGATGAAAAACGAAAAGGAAGGAGGAAGAAAAAGACTTAAAAAAAGAAGGCCGGTTTTTCTAAAACAATTAAAAAAAATTTAGAAAATGAGGATTTAAGAAAAGGGCTTTAAAAAAAAGAAAAAAAAAAAAGAAAATGAATGGGTGAATTGCGAATCTCGATCATGTAGGTTACATTACTAGAACTATTATAAGCAGAGCCATCGTCGTTACAGTTCTTCTCTTTGCGGTAGCTATAGCACAAACTTAGGCAATATAACCGATTTGTAAATTCACGTGGACAAAAACCCTGCATTACAGTTCTCACAGCTCTAATCCAATTCCAAAAACGAAATAAATAGCAACGCGCACCAGACTAGCCGGTGCGATCATGCGTTTTGTGCAATTCAGCCCATCGATTCTATTAATGATTTTCACTTCCTTGTACTTTAGTCTATGCAAAAATAGTTCAAACATTGAAAGAAGACCAGACAAAAATTTCACGCACCAGCGTATGAAAACTGAATTCGAAACCTTGAAGGATGAATATCTTTTCGTGAGAAATTTCACGCACTAGCGCATGAAGGCTGAATTCGAAACCTTGAAGGGTGAATGTCTTTATCCCGAGTTAATAGTTCACCTGCCAAATTTTCACGAGGCCGTAGATAATACTCAAGAGCGCGGGAACGCTGAATTTGAATGGGCAAGGTTGAGCGTGGTCGGGGGGTCATTACTTTAAAATTTCAGCCTCCTAGACTCCGTAGTTCCTGAGATATTGACTTACCCGTAAAAAAAACTTTCACGGGGCCGTACGAGTTACCCGCGGGTAAGGGAAGGCTGAATTTGAATGGGCAAGGTTGAGTGTGGGCAGGGGGTCATTACCCTAAAATTTCAGCCTCCTAGACTCCGTGGTTCCTGAGATATTGATTTACCCTAAAAAGCTTTCACGGAGCCGTACGAGTTACCCGCGGGTAAGGGGAGGCTGAATTTAAATTTGCCGCGTCACCCGTTGGCGGGGAACGCTATACCAAAATTTCAGCTGCCTAGCTTTTGTGGTTCCCGAGTTGAAAGTGCGGGACAAAGTGTGCGACACACACACAAACAAACACACAGACAACCCCGTAACAATATGCGTTTTGTAACGCTGTTACACAGCACAAAACGCATGAAAAAGTAAAAAAAAAATCGAGTGCATATCAAGCCGAGCCGTCGTTACAGTTCTTCTTTTTGCGAGCCACAGCAATATAACCGATTTATAAATTCACGTGGTCAAAAAAACCTCTGCATTTCGGTCCTCACAGCTCGAATCTAATTCCAAAAACGAAAAAAAGTAAAAAAAAAAAAATGGAGTGCATATTGTACGCCCAAGCCGAGACGAGTTTTGGTGATTGCTTACTCACAACCTCATGCAGGTTCTGTATAGTTCAGTACATATCCTCTGCAAGCTATATGAAATCATAGAAGGTCCAATTGTGGTAACGGTATGAAATGTATACGACTTAATGGACCGAAACATTTCTTACCTAATTTAATACCTTTTCTTTTTTACATCTCCCTTTTTTACCTTTTTTGTCTTTTCTAACATCCTTTCTTACATTTTTCAACAAAATTTTCATTCAGCCTTAAATAGAAGGTAGTGTAGGGACTATACAAGCCAATTTCACAAACGCTTCACAATTCTGTAGGGATGCTAATACAAGCCATTGTCCAAGTTTTCCATTTCCGTAGTTGTTTTGACCACTCCTGCATCGCCTTGTCTTGGTCACTGTGCCGGCTATTTTGACATACTTTTCGATTCCACAAGGAGTCCAGTGCTTTTTCCCTCATAGGTTTCATGTTCTTGCTCGTGACACCTATATATCAGCACGCTATGTAGGTACTGATGTTGGAAGCCATGAGGAAGCGGGCATTGATTGGACTTATCAGTATTTATTGTTGTGTCCCACTTCAACAGCTCTTGTTTTGTGATCGTCCAAAACTTGTTCGTCTTATTTTATCCCTGTCGCGAGGGGTATACTGATTTTCACTTGGCCTAAGTTGAGAAAGTGATTTCTCTCACCTGACACGGAATTTATAGGATTACATGTATGAATACATTAGATGACTCCTTGTCGTGACTCCTTCGCTCTTGATATTCTCCATTGAATAAATCGACATCCACGCCAGCGAATTCTGTCCTGTGCTCACCTCATCCACAGTACTGCATGCAGTCGAAATTAGCGGATCAGACCAGCGCATCGATAGCCTTCTTGCTGACTTTTTTAAATTTCTTGGGTACCAGCTAATAGTGCTTCCCATCCATTCTTTGTCGGTCATTCTTGCCACGTGATCGGCCCAGTTTCTTCTGCCTACAGTAAGATAAATGGCAACGCGCACCAGACTAGTTAATTCGATCATGCGTTTTATGCAACTCAGCCCATCGAACGATTGCCTGTTAACGATTTTCACTGCTTTGTGCATTAGTTTATGCAAAAATAGTTCAAACATTGGAAAACAGTTAAAAATTTCACGCGCCAGCGTATGAAAGCTGA